TGTATAAACTTACATACTCATTTATTTACTTAATTACACATACTTATTAACAAAGTAAGTTTGTTATTTGTTATTAAACGATTTATTTGTCATTTAGAGTTATCAACAGTTCCATAGTTCAAAATAATTACTATTCATTAATTTTCTGCTATTGCAAAATAAACTCATCATTGACACTTGACACTTTTCATAGTACAGTACCTACTATAGAAAATAAATAAAGACTAACATACATATATAACTATATGTAGTTTTCATATTACATTTAAGTACATTTTTATGAAATAATACACAGTATGTGCCAGTACCTGACCGAACTTTAAGAAACTATTCACTTTTCTTTATAAAAAACGTTTCTTGTAATTTGTAAATAGGCACAAAAACAAACAATGTAAATAGGATCAGATTATTCTGTTATTTCATCATCATCATTTATTTATTTTTTTTTATCATCGTCATTTTATTATCATCATCATCAACAGCAACATAAGTGGCCACAACTATAACTAAAAGTCTCTTCTCGCACAGAGAAGCTTGAACCATTAATCACCACGGTTGCTCAGTGCAGGTTCGCGATTTCAAACTTATAATTACAAATTATAAGCCATGGTTTCCTCACGATTTTTTCATTCACCGTCTTTCAGTGGTGTCTAGATAATCTTAGAAAGTGAGTATGGTTGTTTCAAATCCGCGGTAATATCAATAGATAGCTAACTATATGAAGTAATTTGTCAAAATTCAAGTAATATTTATTATCTTATTTATATAATTTCTTAGGATTACGAACATACTCAGGTAGGTAAGCGGTATGATAATAATACATTAATATATTTGTTACACTATTACAAATAAATGTTCGATTAGTCATTAATTTTAAGGCGTATCTGTGATTCTGATTAGGGAGCGTAGACATTTTGTTATTATAATTGTAGTAAACAAGAAAGTACAATATATAGATATATATATGGTATTACGTAGATTTATACTCAGGCAAAATGTTTACATTTGTTAAATTAATCGATTTTATATATAGATTTTATTATCATTTCTCACGTTATCTTATAGTTGCTAAGATGTAATAATAGAATCTTATTTCGTAAGTATTATACCTAAACAGAGCATAGAACGAGACTAGCAACTGTTTTATCGAAAATAGAATTTCCAGAACCATATGGTTTAATTACATAACATAACATCACGCCTTTTATCCCCCAAAGGGTAGACAGAGGTGCACATCACGGCACTTAATGCCACTGTACCATGTAACACCCACTTTTCTCTGTTTTAGATATGATTATGTTTTGAATCCCATGTACCTAATAGGGGGTGAGCCTATTGCCATGTACCGGGCACAATACTAGACTCCGTGCTACCACGGAGAATTTTTAAAAACCCCAGTAATACTTTGCCCGACTTGCGACGACTAGGCCAACGAAGCATTGTTTAATTATTATGAATATATTACTGCACTTTTTTTAAATCTATAAGTTAAAAGTTAATTATAAATCTTTCTTCATTTAATGCGAACAAACCACTCATTCGAATATTCAAATTAGAGCTGTGATAATCAATTATTTTCTTTGTTTACCATGTGCTCCAAAAGAGAGGTGACAAAACTCTGAATGACGAACGAATGTGAACAACATGGTCACCAAACATTGAGTAATTAGCAAAGACTAGGTATTAACTTCGAATTGATAAAAAAGAAAGATTGTGATAACAAATAGGTCAAGTACATTCTGAATTGTGTTTATAACCTCACCAAATTCACCAATAGTGTACCAACTATGAAACGTATTACTTATGAAGCCAAATTGTAAAATTCATTAAAATAACAAAGGCATTTAAATAAAATTCAACTAGTAGATAATTATTTCTTAAATAATGTCATATCAGTTACAAATTTTTCAATTGTAAGCCATTACTGAAAATTTTTTGACTAAGGATCAAGAAAACTCATTGATTTTAGACAATGGTGCCTCAATTGTTACCGGACTCTTGACTGATAAGCTTAAACAATTATCTACAACACTCCGTACTTGGATCTATCGTAACATACCTCAGAGATTGTTATTTCAAACGACAATTGTAACACTTTTCAACACTAAACATCTAACGCTGTTTGCGTCGCCGTCGCATTTTCCACATAAATTTTTATAAATACACTGACACCATAATTTAACACTACAATTTAATTTTAAAACGTATTACAGACGACACAAAGGCGTCGCAAATACACACGCGAATAACTTATTCCAGAAAACTATATTGATAAGTCAGCATATTATCTTTACGATTAGATATCAGAGACTCAAGGATTGATTCACGCCGTACAATTTGTTGTACAAACAGCTGTAATGGCGGGCTTGATAATTATTGCAATTAATGACAGTGTATACTGATTTATGACCACACAGACTCGGTTGACCTAAAGAACAGGCTGAATTTGTGATAATCTTTTCATATTTATTAGATAGATAACTTTTGCCCTCAAATTCTTGACGTATATTTTTTTTAAGAGGAGAAAATCATCGGATGGATGCTCCCGCCTGGGTGAGACGGTAGGGAGTGTCAGACTCTTACTGACTAAAAACCACCCCGTTCCTTCTCCTGCGCTTCGAGCCGGAGCCCCGGTAACCCGTTAGGTTCCCCGCGACTCGGAATCGGCATCAGCCCTGTTGGGCCCCATCCGTGGTGGTCTGATGGCTTTTTGAGGCGCGCGCGGAACGCGACGCACCGTATGCTCGGGAATTCTTGACGTATATATACCCAAAGATATATGCATTGATTTAACGCTATCCAAAATTTTGACTATATCGCTAATCGCTATCTATTCCCCAAGTGATGCGACATGAATCATCTTTTTGAAAGATAAAAAGATGATCAATTACACTATACATCGACAGGCGGATCTAAATTGAAGTACCTCTTATAAGATTTTAAGCTCATCATCACAACAAAACAATTTATTGAATTCTCCTGCACTGCATGAATTAGCTAATGGAAAACAAGACTAATTAATCAGGAAATTGAGATTATCAACTCCTTAAAGTACTCATAATTCACAACTCGATTGAGGTGAAGAGTCTGTCACATTACATAAGAATAATTATCTCAATTGTCTGTTCTACTAGACGCGGAAACTTGTGTATGTCCATGTATTGTATACTAGCTTTCACCCGCGGCTTCGCTCGCGTCACAAAAGGATAAAAAGCCTATGTGACATATACCAATACACACAGCGCCATCTATACCAATACTTTTGTTTTCCCTCGAGAATATCAATTTTTTCCGGGATAAAAAGTACCCTATTATTTCAAAGCAAAAATTCAAAGCAATCGGTTTAGTAGTTACGGCGTCAAAGCGGAACAAACAAACAAACTCACTTTCCGATTTATAATATTTAGTAAGGATACTTTGCAATGTTGGCTTTGTCTAACTCAATTTTTTGAAAAACTTATCGTACAATTTTATTTAACATTATGAATGTGAAAGTTTGTTAGTATGTGTGTATGTTTGTTAAATTACGTTCAATCACATGAAAACGGCTAAAAGGATCGAGATGAAATTTGAAACAGGGATAGATTATGGTCTAAATAACACATTGGCTTCTTTTTTACCCCACAAAATGGCGTACGAAGCCGCGGGCACTATCCTTACTAATATTATAAATCTGAAAGTGAGTTTGTTTGTTTGTTTGTTCGTTCCACCTTCACGCCGTAACTACTCAACCGATTGCTTTGAATTTTTGCAGACGCAAAGTTAGAAGTCCGGATTAAATAATAGGGTACTTTTTAACCCGGAAAAAAATTGATATTCCTGAGGAAAAACAAAAGTATTGGTATAGATGGCGCTGTGTGTATTGGTATATGTCACATAGGCTACTTTTTATTCTTTTGTGACGCGAGCGAAGCCGCGGGTAAAAGCTATTAATTTATAATTAAACGTAGCCGCCTAATCAGTTGTACTTAAGTGAGATCGTTATGACTGTTATTAGTAAGGAACAAGAAAGTCACAAGATGACAGGAATGCATTAGTTTTAAGTTCTCTAATAAGGTAAATTAGCATCATTTAGTTATAATAATGACACGCCAGGTGACATCGTAAGAAAACTTCATAAATATGTAAAACATATGGATCGTCATTCAAGCTATAAAGCTGATGAAGATAACATCACGCCTTTTATCCCCGAAGGGGTAGTCAGAGGTGTACATTACGGCACTATTTATGTTATGAGTCCCATGTAATAGGGGGTGAGCTTATTGCCATATACCGGGCACAAGTGCGCAGACTCCGTGCTACTACTGAGATTTTTTGAAAAAACCCAGTAATACTTTGCCCGACCCGGGAATCGAAGCCGAGACCCCTTGCCCAGCAGTCGCACTTGCGACCACTCGGCCAACGAGGCAGTCTATTATTTAGAAGCTGATGTGAATATAATAATTACAAATTATGTTGTTAATGGCTATTCGCGTGTAATTATCGATAAACAATATTTATCAGGGCAACTGCGGGTAAGTGAAAGTTATCTGTTTCTTGGTGATCATAATAATTATGTCAAGCTTGTAATACATCCTGAATATGATAGGTAACGAATTTCTAGAATAATCTGTTGTTACTACCGGTGAAAGGAAACATGAACTGAGAGATTTCAGGACAATGAATGTAACTAAAATAAACTATGAAGAGAAAAAGCCTTGGGTCTGGTAGCCTCATTCCATCCCAGTACCTAGTATAGAGTTTTCTTGTCCCCTAAACAAGCGCGTTAAGCTAGAGTCCGCTTAGACTAGGATTGGATTGGCAATCGAAATCCTGATTACACTGTTAGTAGGAAACTGGAAAGGCGCCAGGTTAAATAATGAACAGGAACAGACACCAGCAGGGTAACCCTTAAAAACCTACTAATCGTTATTTGCATGAGGTTTAGAATCTATTTAAGAACTCTGGAATTCAAACTCCTGCTTACTAATATTAAGAAGTATGTATAATAAATAGTATACCTGCAAGTATCCTGTCTATAAATAGTGCTCTGACCAATGGAACTGCTGTACGTAGGTATCCTGTGGAGACTGCTCGAAGGGTATATTTGAGGTGGCCTTAGGAACCCGCTACCACTCAGTGCCACACCGAGCATAGGGGTGTCAACCACCGAACTCTCGAAAGCACTCGTTTCATCCGTCTCCTCCTCAATAACTCCTGGTTTGTAGAATATTTTGCCGGCTGACAGCCCTGGCTTTGTCTTTCCATCTTTTTGTTCTTCATTCCGAGATTGCATTTCATAAGACGAAGCCGCTTCCGTCATTGTTTTAAGGTTAACGCTTACTGTCACAATACTGTCCTCACATATTTTCTAATGGCAGCCATTTCATTTAATGCGTGCTTCAACTTCTTTATCTGTCTCATTTTAATGTTTTGATGTTTCGTCTGCATTTGTTTTCATACCTGGAAAACAAATATTTTTGCAATAAATAACATGATTAAAAATAATTAAAATGATTTGAGTGTTTATTATTGAAAACTGCGCATTTCATTATTTGTTACTTTCTTTTATCATTATTATTTTTAATGTTCTGTTTATTTCCTCAATTTTTACAGGTTAGGTGTCTTTTAACGTTAAAAAATAACACACTTATATTTAAGTATGCGTTAATACCAGCTTAACTTGAAGTATAGTATATATAGTTATATATAGTTCTCGTAGATCAATGTCTAAAACCCCAAGAGTTCATAAGTGTCATGTCAAATTCAATTAGCTGCATCTGCGTTCTTAATTACTCATGTAACTGTGATGTAACAGATGCGGCCTAGTGTAATACTATGACTAATTGAATAATACACAATGAGATCCGTAAAAAAGCTATAAGGTCATTTAGGTGCAAAAATAACAGAATACGATTGATCGGATTACGGATTGTAACGCCATCTGTTATCGAGTAGCTGAACTAATTATGTAGATGCTGTGTTGTTATGGTTTTAAATATTTTATTTACGTTTAAAAACACAAGTTATTTTAAAAAAATGTGTAATGCATTTTGGCAATGCGCAAACATTCAAAACTAATGTATTATTAATTCTTTCAAGCGTTCGATAGCGCCATCTACTGAAAACACACAACATTTGTAAATTACAAAAGGCTTAAAACCCCACTTGTACATAAAACACCAAACTTCAACCTAACGGCAAACTATTAAAATTCCTTTTTCTAGTGGTCTGTAGTAACAGGAATACTCCCGTAACTCCCGTTTAGTTGAACACATTCCGTCCTTGTTCTCATTAGGAAGCGGTCGATCTCCAAACTCTTTAGTTCACACCGTAAGTGCCGATAATGAGTCGGATGTGTTCATAACTCCCACAGGAATCGCACGTTATTGCGGAAAACCTCGTATAATAAAATTCCGCGTTTATACCGTTCCTTGTAAGGAGGAAGGCGATGAATTGATAATGATGACTCTTTTATTAGTTCACGCGAACATCTCACATGTTGGTACTATTTATGTGACTTTGAAACTCATTTTTTACTTGTACCTTAGTGCTGTTTAAGCAGTTTGTCTTGCACGCATGTGTTTGCATCGAGCAATATATCTACTTGGTTTAGATATTTAACACATTAGATGCCGTGTCGGACAATGATGTCTGGCACTAGAGGAGGACTGGCCTTTAACGGTTTTTATCGTCTAAATTTCATTTTTAAAAGCAGTTTTTGAGACCGTAGCTAACTATCTAGGTACTGACTTTTCAAAATGAATAAGTTGGAAACATATTTCTCTCTGATTTCTATTCATATTCACATAGAACTTTAGTCATTTCTCATGTTGTAACTATTACATGAAACGAGGCTTATATTCAGTTTTCACACTGGATGCCTTAGGTCAGAACGTCGAGTACCTATATAGCCAAGTAAAACAAATTGTATGAAGATCCTACACCTTTTGCAATGCCCTAACAAAGATGAATAGAATTCCTGCGTCACATTATCGTCATAATCTTACATCTTTTAAGTTAGTAAAAGGTCACACGTCAAGGATATTTTGCTCTACAATTCGCGCATCTGTGTATCTTAATACCATACGATTACTGAGCACAAATCCCAAAGATTATTTGTTAAACTGTCAAACACCAAGCGGTCACCGGTGACCGCGACCTATTGTTCTTTAATTGTGTCTATAAAACCGGTACTCGACGAGTTAATATCCTGCTGATATAAGTATAGAAATATACAAATAAAACTTGTATTGTCATGTTTGTGGTATTGGTCTTATAATTTAAAATGTTGACTCACAGTTGCCAAGTCATTGTCTACTCAAAGTTTATAAGTTGACCGCCGTAGGTACTCAGGGACATTTTTTAATTGCTACTTAACCCGGTCCTTAGCAATGGTTTTCGGAACAAAATCGTTACTAAGGAATAGTTTGACTGCATGGTTAGTGCGGTGGCTGGGCAACCGGCTGCCGTGCAACGTGACGCGGGTTCGATTCCCGCACGGAACAACGCTTTTTGTGTTCCACAAATTGATGTTTCTGGTCTGGGTATCATGTGTATGTGAACTTGTATGTTTGTAAACACAGGAGAAAATCCTAATGTGGAGCAAAGTTTAAAAAAAAAAAAACAAAAAACAAGTTTAAGTAAAATGTCTCTGAGTATCGCAGTTACAGACATTTACACTAATGAGAATGACATATATGAAATAAAAGTTTAAAAAGAATTATTTCGTAAACAAAATATTTGTAAGTTCACCAGACCAGAAATTACCTTCTCAGTAGTAGTAATTACTAAATGCAGATTAACAAAACTTACTTGCCGATATATTTATTAAACAAGGGCGAAATTAAAAGTACCCTTTACCCTTAAGTACCTCAAGCAAGCATGAGAAGATAACTGTTGATGAAGCGAAAGAAGTATGTAGAAGTCATAGCAATTGTCGTTCCATAGTCTCTACCTATCCCCATGGGAGACAGGCGTGAAGTTATATATCCAGGTATGTAGTTTTAAAAATTACAAGGATTTAAGTACCGGTTGGCAGAAAAACATAGGGTCAGGTGAAACTAAATGAGAACTTATAACAAAGAAAGATGAAACAATCATGGTTCAGTGAATAATAAATAATGCAGTCGTTATATACGGTTCCCCTTACGATAAACCTCTCAGTACATTAAAAATCGTAATTGAAAAACATAATAGACGCATTACTCGCCCATAGAATTTTCGAAAGTTCCCATCGGTTTTCCTAGGATCCCATCATCAGATCCTGACCTCATGGAAATGGGACAATCTCGGGAGTATACCCTTTCAAACAAAACAAGAATTTTGGAAATCGGTTCACAAAGGGCGGAGTACTGCGCGAACAAACAAAAAAAAAACAATCAGCCGAACATAGTACCTCCTCCTTTTTTTAAAGTCGGTGAAAATAGTCAATTCTACAACAGTTTTACGCCAATCCGTAGCGTAAGCGCACCGCTTACACGCATTCTGCGAAACGTACCTGTCCACTGTCCATAGATGAAGGTCGCTCTCAATTGCCGGTGTCTGTTCGGTAATTAATAAAGTACCCTGTGGTCGTGTGTCTGTCATATGCGTACTTATAAGCCCTTATATCTACTTCTGAATTGTAGACTTAGCTTTTATGAGTTTAGAAGCAATTACAGCTGCAATGTACACAACTCTAGATATGTATCAGATAATTACATACATACGAGTACTATATTATAGTGTCATATTAGAATTGGTAGAGACAATAAAACAAGTAGGTATCTGACAGTATATTTTTGTAATACCCCTTCACCTACGTTTAATGATTTTTGATTAATTTTTGTCAGTTGAGAATGAGGTTATTCTTAATTAGGCTGCGTAGTACTAATTTATTAAGTACAGACAGTTAAAATTCAGGTAGATTCCAGAAATGTTTCCAACTACATCTTAAGTAGGTATATCCATGGCTTGGATGTAGTTGGATGATGGTCACCAGGAAGGTTTCAGTGAGGTAAGAATTCCCATACTTGCTAATCTTATTCCCCAATAAGATAAGGCATTTTGAAGGTTTCTTCCTGTCATCAATAAGAAGACTTACAATCTTAGAACACCATTATTTACCTATACTAAATCTTAATAGGTACCTACGTCCTTTAAAATAACTACCTTCGCTAGGTCTCTAGGCAAATATAAAATTATGGCTACATTATTATGTGAAGTCTGTCTGAAAATATAGGTAATGTTGAGGTTAATCACGTCATAAAACTACTCTAAGGTCCCTTTAATAACGGTACTAGCTGACAGTTTCAAGAAATACCTAATAAATAAGAAAATAACAACAGTATATGATCAAGGACATTAACAGTTCGTTACAGTCCTATGCTGTAACATCTGTGTGAGGTTTTCTATAATCTTCATGGTAACAAATCTGTCTAAAACTGCAATCTCTTAACTCTCTTTTAAACTCTTGTCAGACATGGAAATTATATCAAACGCTCTTATGGAGCGCAAACCTATACAGTCCAGTGATAGTTTCACTGGCTGTTTCATGGGCGTCGGACCCATTTTCCTAACAAAATGACCCACAAATATCACTTAGGATAATAGCCCATAATAGCAAAATAGGTCTAACTAAATCCTTCACACGCCATGGACGATAAATGGTTGAATTGCATTTCATTGTGGTCTAATAATGATCATTATCTCCGTGCTATGGTGCCGTCATAATGCGCGCTATATGATCTTTTATTTAATAACAGGATATTATGACAGCTATGACAAGAGAAAGCTTTTTTTGTTATGATTTGTAGCATTAGAGATAGATAGTACTTGTTCAATTGGTAGTAATTCAAATTTATTTTTTCTAGTTTCCTTCTTTTCATTGCAGTTATTAATCCTTTTTTTCTTATTACTGGACAAACCTTTAAAAGCTACCTCACTTTTAGGGGAGTAAGACTTGAGAGTGTGGCTTTCTTACCTCACTAAAATCACCCCGGTAGCCCTCAGCACCGGTAAGGGGCACCGGATCTTCTACTAGACTTACTCCGGACTCCGGAGTGCCGTTACAGTGCAACGCCTGTTACGGGACGTGCCTTAGGAGCACATATTAATGCCTACATCATGTAGAGTTTGACTTACTTTTTGGCAGGTTCATCAATCTTATATTTCTTATTACTATTACATAGAAATGAAGTGTCTGTTTGTTTGTACTACTGGTCCGATTTAAAAAATATTTTTGTTTTGGATAGTCTGTTTGTCGGGGAAGGGCAAAGTGTTCTATAGCCTAGACCTACGGATGAAACTGTGCGAAAGTTGCTAGTTTGATTATAAATATAA